TTAACTTGATCCTTCTTTTAGTTTCTAGCTCGACATTGTTCTCCATCTTGTTTCCACTCTTGGACACTTTGAACTGCTATTTATGTTAAATAAGCCTCAGCAAACTCTAGCACACTTCTGAAATCCAAATAAGCTTTCCTTTAATCTTAAAACATGTAGTTTTCCAAAGTAAGATTTAAGGCTTTATTTCCAGAGAAAGGCTTGAGTTTCTTCTAAGCTGATGTGAATTTTCTTTTCTTTTTTTTTTTTTTAAATAGCGTTTTTTCCAAACCATGTAAATGGCTTCTTAAAAAGCAGAGCAGCACACTTGAAACTTTGAGCAAAATGACTCATCCACGTTACTTGGCGTCGGCAAATACAGTTAAATATCATGAATTTTCAGTCATTACTTCCAAGTCCGACGCTTTGCTTATTTATTCATTTGTATCTGATATTTTTGTACTCATCCATCATCATTGAGGCCGTCTGGAAATCCTCTGGTGAGCACCGCCCTCTGCTGCTCCAAGCCGGCAGGCTTCCTTCATCAGCGAGCCCAACGCATGCGGCACTTTCCTTAGTTTCCCTCGGAACTTGTCTCGCCCTCGGCGACTGTTTTCTACTTAATATAGTGGCTAAATGTCCGTGCTTAAATGTTTCTTCTCATGAATGCAAATAACCACTCAGTCAGACGGAAAGAACGAGTCTACGCGTGTTGATATTTGAACGACGGTAGAAAACAGTGTGTTCGCCCCGTCTTTATTTCCAGTCAGAACAAAGCACACAAGTTTTTTTTTTTTCTCCAGAGACGCACAGCTCTGCAACGTCATCGCACAACGTCAAATCCTATCAGCTATTATTCAAGATAATTCTAAGCATTAACAAATGCAAATTGAAACCAAAGGAAATTATGAAAATAGTAAAGCAGTAACTTATTTATAATGCAATCAGAAATATTCTATAATATGCAAATACTGAACATATTCAAAAATAATAACTAAATATGAATGTAAATTACTAGATAGAAAATGGCACCAACAGTAGGGGTGGGCATTTATTGTGTTGATTATCAAGATAGTGATAAGTTTTCTACTCATGATAGCTTAGCTTTATCGTCTTAACAATAACTTCGAATTAGTAATCACAAAATACTCAAATTGATACATTTTAAATTTAAATTTTTTTCTTTTTTTTTTCCAATTTGGGCATTTGCAAATTTAAAGACTTTGGTTTAATATGGTTATTCCAGGTTGTTAAGTAATATAAATCCAAATTCTTTTGTAACCCGAAGAAGCCTATTTTAATGTGCATCATTTTTCAAGAAAATTATTTTTGTGAGCCTCTGCAGTCACAGCTACACAGCTACCTAAGAGCCACTCAGTGTTTTTATTGCCAATTTTATTGTCATCACAATGGCACTACATGACGATTGCAAGGCCATATCGACCAGCCTTAGGTTGTCTAGGTTGACTTTTCCCGAAGCTAAATTAATTTCTGAAAGGTGTGAAAGAACTCTCATTCTGCTCAACATTCTATAAATTGATGGCCTTACAGTTCAAATAGAGAACATATACTTATAGTTTCTCATTTGAGAGTATGTACAAAATTAAATACATCACAAGTGAAAACATTTCCAGCATTTTCTAGTTTATAGCATAAAATTATTAACTAAGAAAGCAGATGGCGCTAAATTCCTCATTTGGCCACGTGACCCACTGAGACGCTGTAGTATGCCCTGACGTCTGTTTAGTCAGGAAGTAGTCATTTTACATTGCGAGTGAATATTTATTCACCTTTGGGATGGAGTTTTTATCCTTTAATGAGGACGAATACGAAGCAATCAGAGTCTTAGTGGTTTTATTAATGCTCGCTTGTTTAATCGCTGTTGCTAAATTTTTTTTGATCTTATGCCGAGCCGGTGGAAGTCATTATCTTTCAGAACATTTTCCAGATGGTGCTGTCCTTTGATTAGTTTGCACCAGCGTCTAACCTTTGGTTTGAAGAGGGGATCACAGATTTGTATTGGTTCTGTGCTGGTGGTCAGTGTTGGAGCCCTGTGTAAGGTGTTTGATAGCAGGCTGTGCTCCGCTGCTGTGCTTGGTTGGGGAAAGAGGTCCCTCCCTAATCCGATCACAGCGAGCATTCCGAGCACTGGGTCCCTCCTGCTGTCCAGGTCGAAAAAATTGCCCTTCGGATGTGGCTTTTACCCGGCGGTCGGTGGGGTTCAGGCTGTGGGTCTCCGCCTGCAGTAACTGACTGTTATCCATTATGATTCTTTTTATTCTGGAGCCGGACCATAATAATATGGAAATCTGTCTGGAGCTGCAGCTATACTAAACTGTGCAACTAGCTAGGGTTCATTGTTTTATGAAATAAAAAAATAAATGATGCGTTGAATCAGCTTTATTGACATCTAGCACTTTATTGTAACTACACTAGGGCTGCAACTAACGTTTATTTTAAAAATCGATGAATCAGCCGATTATTTTTTCGATTAATCGATGAATCGGACAAAAAATATTTTTTTATATTAACCTCTTTATTCCAAAAAAAACATTTTAGACAGAAAAAACAAGCACACAAGTACAGGTTGCTCATTAAATGTACTGGTGCAATATGAAAAATAAATGTTTGTGTTAAAACTACGCAAACTTACATGAGAAATGTAGCTGTACATCCACAAAATATAGGGTACTTTGTTTCATAAAGCGCAAAACAAGGCAGGCATTTTTGTTTTTAAAAGCCCCTGAGGGGTTCAAACAATAGGTCCCCCCATTTCAACAAATTAGTTTTTTTTAGACTAGAAGAGTTCTGCCTTTTAAGACAGGAAAGTATAGCAGGTAAAGTTGCTACTTGAGAAAATACTGAACCATAGAGATAAAAATAGCCCTGTGATTCAAATTATAAATTGTATTTGGAATAAAAATGAGAGAACTAGGGGTGCTAAAAAACACATCCTCCAAAGACAGATATTTACATGGATAGAGGTGAGTATTGGCATGAGTGTTTCGATTCGATACATGTCGTGATACTTGGGTCACGATACAATATTATCACGATATTGCAGTATCACTATATATTGCCATATTTTCCCCAGCTATCAAAATCAAATGATGAGATAAAACAGCAAGTGCTGTATATTTTTATCCGAAAATATTTATTAGGTTCCACTTTGACTGCCTCAGATACAGATTTGGTGCTGCAGCACAGTTAAAGGGCTCCACAGCGCTTTCTGCCAGAGTGGTGGTGCAGAGGTAGCCCATTTTCCCATCAATGTTTTATGTAACCATTTTTTTTTTTAAATCGATACTAAGAAGTGAAAGATCGATATTATATTGGGCAGCCAAATATCACGATATATCGCCAAAACGATTATTTCCCACACCCCTATACATGGGAATGTGGCATATAATTAATTGACATTTGTTTTTACAAAAGTTGCATGTTACGACTTTTTTCACTTTACAAAGCGCAGGCTATTTTAATTATTGTGATCAATTTAATGCGTCAATCCCGGCGCATGCTCGCTTCATTTGCAGTCTGGACGCTGAGGGTAAACATCCTACGGCTCTGACTGCAGTGCTGAGAGGGACTCCTGCGGGAGAACGGGGTTGGGATGGGGGAGGCGCCCCACAGCAGAGTAGGAACGATACATGCTTTCACGTAAGAGTCTCCAAAACCCGCCAGTGACACCGTAAGAAGTCGCCAGATTTGTCGCTAGTCGCTTTTTTGAAAAATAGTCGCTGGAGGGGTCTGAAAAGTCGCTGAGTTGGCAACACTGCACCTGCAGAGCTGACTCGCTCTGCTGTATTTTTGTTTCTTCCCCCGTTTCAGTCAAGTGGCAGTGATGACGGCGGCAGCGGATGACGCATCAATCGCGCGACACAACTAATCGATGATGAAATTCGTTGCCAACGCTTTTAAAAGTCAATTTTTATCGATTTTATCGATTCGTTGTTGCAGTCCTAAACTACACAACAGAAAAAAACAAGCCATTTCAACTTTGATATTTTGAATCCAACTGATGCTGTGAGAGAAGGATTGTTGATAAAACAATCTGCCGTGAAGTTATCTGAACAAGGTTTGCTGTATCGGTTTAGATGCTGCAGATTGCTCGGTTGATTTTTGTCTAATCTAGCTACTTTCTGGATCGAAATTTGACACGAGTGGTTGTTTTGGATGATTAAACATTCTTCTTCCCGATCCAAAGCCATTCCTACAATTGGCAGCAGTACTATAGACTAGGGGTGTGCATTGGCACTGCCCTCACGATTCGATTACGATTCACCAGGTAATGATTCGATTCAATTAGATTCTACGATGCATTGCGCTGCATCAAAATCCCATTGACTTTGTAAAATCCGAAATGTGCCCAGATATCCGCTTTCAAAGCTTTTGGTGCGTTTTTAATTAGGCCTACCCGTCTATCGCGGTCACCTCCCTCCGCCTCAGCCATCTTGATTGTTGTTGGTATCCCCCCGGAAGTAATTGAAACTTCACAACTTGTCAATTTGAGGCCAGAAAATAAACAGTGACATAATCGATTACGGCACGTTGCCGCATCGGTGCTGAATCGTGCATGCCCCGCATTGCAATGCATCGCTGAATCGATTGTTGACACCCCTACTGTAGACCATTGTAATGATGTTTTTACTGTCCTTTCAGAGTGCTTAAAAATGCATGAGAGGTGTTTCTATACAACTGCACAAAGATTTTTGACTACACTGATGTCACAGCTGTGTTTGGTCACGTGACTGCTCTAGAGGCACACAGCATACTGTAAAATTCTCTTAATTTTTATTATTTGGAGCATTGGTAGCGTGATTTAGACCAGCCACATTGAGAAAATAAAGGATAATCTACCATCACACACCATAAAACTGCTCTAGATGCACTCCTTTCTTTTTGAACTTTAAGATTATAAATTTGACAACTTTTCCAGCTTTTAAAAGTATCACTAAACCCCTTACAATTACAATGTGTCAGAACTAAATAATAGTTTGTGACATGCTGTGTTTTCACAGGGAACTTCGTCTGGGGGAGTAAAGAGGCCAAAGGTGGAGAGCTGGGAGAAGAGTGTCGGGACTCTGGGAGGCCGAGGGGCCCTGAGCTCCCTGGTGGTGCGAAAGAAACCAACAGAAATGGATAAAAAACCCAACAGAGAGGAGGCATCTACTGCGTCACAATCAGGTACCGCAGTCACATTTCAGACGCCCAATCAGCCTTATTTTTGTCGAGCATTTCTTTACTTTAAGGCAATTTGAGGACTTCTCTTTTCTTTGTTTTGCAGATTCAATGGCATCAACGGGCGACTCAGCAGATCCTTCTAAATGCAGCGTTTCTCAGAATGGATCATCATCTCTCAGCCTACTGGGGGCGTATTCAGACAGCGACAGCAATGACAGCGACTGAAAGGAAAAAAAGGGGGGAAAACAACACATTGAGGTTGATCTTTTTCTCATCAGAAACTAAATGACAGTTCTAGTAATCAGTTTACAAGGAATTACCTGGAAAAGTTATAATGTAATCTGCCCTGGGCCTGAGATGTATAAGAATTTTTCTGATTCAAAACCAAAATTCATTTGTTATTATTTGACATTTTAAACAAAGTGTGTGAACTATTTCATTAAAATATTTCATTAAAACTCAAAAGGACTATAAACTATTCTATTTTTTGTTTATAAGCCATGTTTTTCCTCTAACTATATCAGATGAATATGTAATTGTTCCTGTTGTTTCCGTGTTTTAAGTTTTTGGTTGATGTAAGGTAAAATGTGCCAAATTCTAAATTAAATTTATTAAATCTGCTTATGATTGGACCAACCTTACCTAGGGAAATGATGCAATGTGTATGGCAGCCATCTGTGTCGGCAGACCCTTGGCCATGATATACACATCTCATAGGATCTTCACAGGATGGGCCGAAATAGAAATGATAAACACAGACATTTATGTATGTAGAGGTGTTTTTTTTTTCTTGTACAGTTGCACATTTCAAGTTTTCAAGTTCATGTTTACTGACAGATATTTAATGAAGATAAACTGTGCCTTCATCAATAGTGGATTAGAGATATACAGTTAAGTTCAAAAGTGGGCCAATTCAGTTTGGTAATGCAGAAAATAACAATCTGATTGTACAATTTATTTATGACACTTTATAAGTGCTATAAAATATTTGCTCGCATGCTTGCATTAATTATCTGTGCCCATGCTTTGTTTAAATATATAGTTGCCCCCAATTTTATTTTTTTTTTTTGGTGCCCTATTGTGCCCCAGTGTATTGGGTCAGCTGATGGCAGAATGATACCTTCAGTTCATTGGTTTTCTGGTTAGTCTTACTTTATTCTTCAATTATCACTTTTTCAATAATAATCAAGTCAGGTGAGTGAGACAGGACTCTTACTTTGTTCAAGGTGACTTTTGAAACTAAATCAGCAGATTCATCACAGACATGTACTGTATCATAGTGTAGTACAAACACATGATTGATATCATCTTTTCTTAGCTTTCCACAGAGCATCACCATGCCACCACCATGCTTCACTTTTTCTTATGGCGTTGCATAGACTTTGAGGTTGACATTTCTTCAGACTTTGGCTTGCTTTCTGAAAGCCGCCTATTTTTCCTTTGTTGTTATACACTCACCTACCACTTTATTAGGTACACCTGTCCAACTGCTCGTTAACGCTTAATTTCTAAGCAGCCAATCACATGGCGGCAACTCAGTGCATTTAGGCATGTAGGCATGGTAAAGACAATCTCCTGCAGTTCAAACTGAGCATCAGTATGGGGAAGAAAGGTGATTTGAGTGACTTTGAACGTGGCATGATTGTTGGTGCCAGAAGGGCTGGTCTGAGTATTTCAGAAACTGCTGATCTACTGGGATTTTCACGCACAACCATCTCTAGGGTTTACAGAGAATGGTCTGAAAAAGAAAAAACATCCAGTGAGCGGCAGTTCTGTGGGCGGAAATGCCTTGTTGATGCCAGAGGTCAGAGGAGAATCGCCAGACTGGTTCGAGCTGATAGAAGGGCAACAGTGACTCAAATAACCACCCGTTACAACCAAGTGGGCAGAAGAGCATCTCTGAACGCACAGTACGTCGAACTTTGAGGCAGATGGGCTACAGCAGCAGAAGACCACACCGGGTGCCACTCCTTTCAGCTAAGAACAGGAAACTGAGGCTACAATTTGCACAAGCTCATCGAAATTGGACAATAGAAGATTGGAAAAACGTTGCCTGGTCTGATGAGTCTCGATTTCTGCTGCGACATTCGGATGGTAGGGTCAGAATTTGGCGTCTATAACATGAAAGCATGGATCCATCCTGCCTTGTATCAACGGTTCAGGCTGGTGGTGGTGGTGTCATGGTGTGGGGAATATTTTCTTGGCACTCTTTGGGCCCCTTGGTACCAATTGAGCATCGTTGCAACGCCACAGCCTACCTGAGTATTGTTGCTGACCATGTCCATCCCTATATGACCACAATGTACCCAACTTCTGATGGCTACTTTCAGCAGGATAATGCACCATGTCATAAAGCTGGAATCATCTCAGACTGGTTTCTTGAACATGATAATGAGTTCACTGTACTCAAATGGCCTCCACAGTCACCAGATCTCAATCCAATAGAGCATCTTTGGGATGTGGTGAAACGGGAGATGCGCATCATGGATGTGCAGCCGACAAATCTGCGGCAAGTGTGTGATGCCATCATGTCAATATGGACCAAACTCCCCGAGGAATGCTTCCAGCACCTTGTGAATCTATGCCACGAAGAAATGAGGCAGTTCTGAAGGCAAAAGGGGGTCCAACCCGTTACTAGCATGGGGTACCTAATAAAAATAAATAAAAAAAATAAATAAAATAAATAAAAGTGGCCGGCGAGTGTATGTGTGTATATATATATATATATATATATATATATATATATATATATATATATATATATATATATATGTGTGTGTGTCTGTGTGTCTGTGTGTATATATATGTGGTGGCACCTGCATTTGAAGTAGCAGCTCGAACATTGGTGCCAGAGTTTGCATTGTTTATCGCTCGGATGCTGAGAAGGAAATCTGTTGCTTTAAACCCAAAGACCTAAAAATATCCCAACATATCCCCCCGCCCCCCCTCTGCCCCCGGCTTCAGGCGGCCATGCCAGCCTATGGTGTCCCGCTGGGGTCATTCCAGTCTGCTCCAGCTAACGTAAGTCGACTCACCACGTCGCGTTCAAAGCATTTTTTTTCGGTGGCATGTTTTATCTCTAATAAAGACACCATTGATGAAAGCCTCCGGATGCTAACC